GGAAGGAAGGAAGGAAGGAAGGAAGGAAGGAAGGAAGGAAGGAAGGAAGGAAGGAAGGAAGGAAGGAAGGAAGGAAGACATTTCAGTGAGCCTTCTTACATTTCTAAAAGAAGACCTTTTTTGCCTGAGAATTTTTCCTGTCCAAATTTGTGGTTGGGGCTCCAAATCACGAAAGAAAAACTGACAATTGGTAAGCTAAGCATTAAACAGCCTTCCTGAAATGCTAATTTAGAATGATTCCCTAAACATCAAAATTGTGAGGGGTTAATTCAACTGGGTAGGTGTATCTCCCTCTTGATGCTTTATCGATAAAAACTGAAATTACATAAAAGGAAACCAGACTGATGATGATCAATGGTTTACAGTGAGTGGGGAGGTGGGGGGAGAGGAAGTGGCAATTGTTTTGTTAATATGAGTATCTTTGATCAACAACACTGAGCTATAATTATGGGAATACAATCCAATCTCTATGTGGACTTTGAGGAAGCCTTGTCTGACCACTTCTTTGTATTATAGTAAGACTGGTTTGGCAGCTTCAGCTTCAGTGAACCTCCTTTCAGCTGCTGGGTTAAAGAAATGCAAACTGGAATAACAGGTTGGACCGAAATGCAAAAAAAAAAATAAAAAAATGGCTTATTGTCTGCGCAGATTTACCCACACTGCCCTTTCTTACTATCTCTGCTGCATTTCCTAGCATGACTTGAAAGAGTGACAAAGCTGCAGAAATCAGGAGGGAGAAGAAAAAGAAAATAAGAACGACTGAGAAAAAGAGAGAGGTGGGGGGAAAGAAAGAGAGAGGATCGTGAACAGGATGCAGCAGTTTGATGTGAGTATTGCTACAGCTTTAGGGATGAATTTTACCTGATAGCTTCCGGTACTGTATTGTCTTTAGCGTATGGCTTGGAGAGAAGGGGTTTTGTGACTTTAGTGTGAAAATATACCCTGGAAAAATGTTTGATGTGTGTGCCGGGGAAGCGTTCCCTGGCAATTAGAACTTTCTTTCATAGTCAGGAGCTTTTTGGAGATATCTGTATGCTGTACCTGTGAACAGTTTTACAGAGGCAATCTAGTATCTTTGAACCATGCCCATTTTCACTAGTACACATTGGTTGTGATCACGAATGGCCATTAGAAGCTGGATAGTACATAGGGTGATCTGCTCAGCCACCTATCTAGGGTTGTCTTCCGAATGTATTTGTAGGGTCAGCATCTCTCCTGAATGTTCCATTACTCATCTCAAATGAAATCATCGTTTTAAAGCTTCCCACCAACTCACTCCAATGTGCCCTGGAGAATACCTTGACTTTCTACTCTGCTGGAAAACAGATTAGGGGAAATGCAAACATTTGGCCTTAAGTAAGAAGCCGATCCTCAAAACAATACAGGTTGGGGCCAAAATTAATATAGCACCCTGCACTCTGGGGCTGTATGCAGGCAGGATGCTCAACCAGAGCTCTTAGACCTAGCAATTGCATTTATGCAACACAGTAAGATCACTGTTAACCTTGATTAGGCATCTTGTGGCTTCAACCCCTGCCCATTTTATTAGTTTGTATTTCAATAAAGTGTGCAGTGAGTGAGCTAATTCAGTAGTCAGATTGTGTTGTGTGAATGTAATCGTCTATACTTGGGTGAACGAATGAATCCAGCCTGCTTCCCATTAGATTGGAGGTGTCTGATTGAATCTTCAACCAGCTTCTTCACTAGGGTGGTGTGGGAACTCCAATCTAAGTACATTTGGCAGACGCCAGATTAAGAGAAACTGAGATGCAGGAGTGTTGCCATGCATGTGCCAAAGAAGTCAAGATGGTGGCTATGATGGCACCATTAAAACTCTGCCCATCTTTATGTACATCATATGTGTGATGCCCATACAAAACCAGGCAGAGCTTTGATCGCACCCTCCCAGCCACCTCCCTGACGTTTTTTAACCACACTCTGTGGGTACCCCTCCTTGGATGACTGCTGCAAAACGCTGACGTGCCAAGAGTCCATCTGAGAATACCAGGATCGGGTATTCGGAGAGACTCTAAACAAGGATATTCCTTCCATTGATTATAACCCTGATAGCTAAATGGTGTAATAACCAAAGCATGTCTGTTCGTTATTTTTTCCACTCCATGGAAGACAAATGTGCAAGAATTAATATGAACGATCTACTTTAGCCCAACTCAGTGCAAGGTTGTTGTGGTGACTTTTGCTCTTTTATTTGTTACTTGACTATCCATAGATAGTCATCCCAACATGCAAATCAGCCCAGCTGGAGGCACCTAACCAACCTTTGCTGATCTCAGAAAACTAAGCAGGGTTCTGTATGATTAGTACATGGACGGGAGACTACCAGGAAATGCCAGGCCTACTGGCTGGCCCAGTGTTTCTCAACCTTGGCAGCTTCAAGCTGTGTGGACTTCAACTCCCAGAATTCAAAATTTCCAGAAATTGAGGGAGTCCTTTGGCATTGCTCCAAGGGCTCTGATCATGATTGGTATAACAGTGGATTTCTTTTTCAAGCATTCAACTCCGATCTGCAAGTCCCAGTATTTTGTAATTTGTTTGGATTGCTTTATTGTTGTTGTTATTTGATGAGGGCACTTGGAAGTAGTTAGGTCAGCTTACAGGAAGGAAAGTAACTGGAAGGGAAGGGAAGGAAAAGCAAAGAACGTTTTGAAATCGCGACAAAAATATCTACTGAATTCATACTGAAAAAGAGAACATGGTGATATTTAGGCTGTCCAAGCAGCTTTCAGAAAAGTAGCAGAATGCCATTCTGGGTAAGCTGTCCAGACTGGCAGTTGGCATTTCATCAGCCTGCAGATCTCCATAAGTTGACGGAAGGAATCTGTCTGTAGCTGAGTGGTCCATGTCACCCATCCTACCTCAGCCTGCTAGCTGGGAACTCAGGGAACCTCAGTCCCAACATATTCTCAAGAGCATCTGGTTGGGTGAGATTGATTTACACTCAGTAAATCTCATTATTGCTTTCTGCACCGATTGGCGGAAGCTGTTCCAGCATTCAGAGCAAGAGCTTGTTTTCCAACCTTTTCTCTGAGATCCATTTTAGTGGGTGAAGAACACTGATCTACTTGAGTACAGGGCATGTCTTCTGTCGCTGACCAAGAAGACCCTTTCCTAGCAAGGACCCTGAAGTTTCTGGTGAATTCACAGATAGAGGCCATGGCAATTGTTTCCTCCCATCATTTGCCCCCAGGGTTGTTCAGATGTATACTTCCTCTGATCATGGAGGTTCATTAGCTATTATGCTCATAATGGCCAGAGGAATTCTTTTTCATTTCAAGATAATGGTATGCATAAGCCGCGCTCTTGGAGCCAACAGAAAGCTCCATTCATCTTTGCAATTATAATGGATTCCTGAATTAGAGCTCCAGTGCCAATCCCTTAGGGTTTACTGGACCTTACTTTCAGATTCAGATGCAACCGGTTATTCCACCTTGGTGTGTTAACACAGGATGAGTGCTTGAGAGAGGGAAAGGTATTGTTTTTTGCTGAAACGTTTTTACTTTGGATTTGAGACCGGCCATGCAACTTTGCTCCAATCTGCATTCTCGGATATCGTGAAGGCCAGATATTGCCCTGGTGCTAGAGGTAGTGCAGAGCAATAGCAGTATTGGGGTGGGGACCCAGGATCACCGAGTCTCTGCTCTACTCGCTTGGTGAGTTGATGCTGAAAGATGCCTTTATCTCCTGCCTTGGTGAAATATGTGTCTGTTTGCAGCAGGTCAGAGATGGGCAAGTGGCAGGCTGTATTCAGCTCATCTAATGTATGGGTCCTATTTATAAGAACTGGGAGTGCCCACAGGACACTATTCTTTCCAAAACTGGTGGCCCATCAGATTTCTGGAAGGAAATCTCCTGGGAATTGGATCGTGGATCTTTCTCTGGCTGTTCTTGAGGGCAATGACTTCTTCTCTGGCTCAGATCTTACCAGCCACAGCACCTCCTTGTCAGGGTGCTGGGAATGGATGCCCAAAGCATGATAACAATTCTGCAGAAATGAATGTGAATGACGAGGCTCCTGAAATAGCCAAGTGATTTGCATTAAGAAGGTCTCACCTGTAAAGCTGTTAGGCTCGTGGTATCTGCCAAAAATGGAAAGTAATTCATTCTATGTACAATTTACTAACAGAGTTCTGTTTAACAAGATTTATTAAGATGAAAGGGATGGGGTTACAAGAATTCCAGCAACTGAACCATTTCCCTTTTAGAACCAGTATATCCCAAATACATTTCATGAACTAGCAAACTGATCACAAAAGGGCTTGCAAGCGGGTACGGACCCAATCATCTCCTAAAACTCAGTCTGGGAACTGACTGTTGCAACAACCCGAATGGCTTGAGATCGGGAGACCTGAAGATTGATTTCTGCTCTACTCATTACTCTGTGCACTCCTTTCAGCATCAAAAACATTGTTCTATGTATTGACACTGGCTGTGGCTTGGTGCAATTAAGGCAGGAGCAGAACCTTCTCAGCTGTGGCTCCAGTCTGTAGAAGACCCTTTCCAGAGAAATGCTTCAGACCCAGATATTACACAGGTTAAGCTCCAGAGATGGGCACCTTTTTCATCCAGCAAGGGGTGGAAAGTGTTGCAGTGAGGTCACTGGAGACCCATTCTTCCCCCTTCTTCTTCAGATGGGGAATACTCTAAGTTTTTGTTTTTAATTATTTTAAGTGTCTTAATATACACTAGTTTTCAATAATGTACAGACTGAGAAATGGTTGCACAACCATTATTTGGAGTTTGGTAGTGATAGGGGAATCCAAAATGGGAATTGAAGGCTTCATGGGCTGATTATTAGTTTTATATTTATTTTATTTATTGTCAATGATGGGACCCAGGAGGAGAGCCTTTTGTACTGTGGCATCTGCCCTCTGAGGTCAGATTGACCCAGACCCTATTGACCTTCTGGAAAGGCCTGAAAACATGGTTTTGCCATCTGGCCTGAAGATCCTGTGGAGCCTTCAAAGTGACTGTATTGCTGGGGAAATTGAGTGCGCTGTCTGAAGGATTATGGGTTTTTTTAATGGTTTTTATTGTTTTTAATGTTTTTTTTTGTTATGCTTTTGGTTATTTTGTTGTATTTTTTTGCATTTTTAACTTTGTACACTGCCCAGAGTCCCATATGTGAGATGGGATAGACAAATAAATAAATAAATAAAATTAAATTAAATAAATAAATAAATAAATAAATACAATTTTAAGACAATAAGAATAAAATCAAGCAAAACATTGGTTTTTTTTTTTTTTAAATGATAAGATATTAAAAGAGATCTCTAAGTCACAGTACTGTACTAATTTCTGAGTTACTAAAATAATTCAGCAAATTGCCAGTTCCTAAAAACAAGAACAGTAAAAGACTTAAATGCCAATTCAGTAGTGGCTGTAATTTTAAGACAATGGGTTAATCTGTCTCTTAGATCTGTTTTCTTCCTCTCCTGTCCTCTGTGTTGATTTAGGATTTTTATAGCTCTTGTAGAGGTATTTGTTTACACTGTTTGGGGTTTTTCTTTTCCCTGGCCGTCGTTTTGGTTGGTTTGTTTGGCTGTTCATCTTGATCCTGATTATTTGATTGTTGTGTCTGTTGATTTTTGTGACATGTCGTGACGTATAAGCCAGATGGCAGCATCTAGCTAATCTTGGCCAAACCATGGTCAGATCTGAGTAGCAGTTGAAGGGGAGACCAGTAGGAAGTCCCAGGCCTGTAGGCCAAAAGCTGGTTCCCACTTAGTTATCAAGTGTCACACTGCACCTGAAGGAGCATTTACCTTTTTCCCTGAAAAGTAGGATATGGTTTCTTAAATAAATAAG